CCCCAAAACCCCAAAACCCCAAAACCCCTTTTTCTGCATAAATTATTGATTTAATTTACTGGATGTTGCACTCAGAAGAATATTTAGTAGCGTAATGGTCGCATAATGTATTCCTGATTTCATTGACTTTCCTTCTTACCTTACGGATATCTTGGTAGGTTTCATCCATCTCCTTTTCTACCAGATCACATTTGGGCTTGAATCCGAGAAGAATATCAATATTTGGCTCTTGTCCTTCTAGAACCATATAGAGTCAATCTATCAATTGGGCTGTTTCTTTTCACAAGGCTTCTCATTCTGTTTGAACTTTTATCTAAAGGCATTAACAGGAGCAAATTACTCAGACTTGTCTGTCAACTTGACCTTCTATCATTTTGACAGTATCTTCAAGTTCTTTTAGTTCTTTTTCATAAATCTCATTCTGTTGCTTTATGTCTTCATATTTCTCCTCAATTCCAGTGAGAGTTTTCACCTTTTTATTAAGTGTCGCATTCTGGGTGTTCAGCTTTATTATATGCTCTTTGTATTGTGTCAATAAATTAGAGCTGATTTTGTTACATTTCTCCATATTCATCAAGCCTTCTTTAAGGATTGGGTTGACAAAAGCTCTAGACTCAAGTACTTCGATATCTATTAAATAATTTCAAAGTAGTTACCTTTAATCTTTTTATCCTTATGGTCTATCTCTTGTTCTTTTTCCTTTAGTTTCTCAGTAAGCTCTAGAAAATAGGAGGGTTTCCTTACCTTTTATCTGAGACTTAAGTTTCCTTCATTCAAGGTTTGAATTAGTGAGTTTGCCGGTGAGTTCACTAATTTCATCTTCAAGCTTATTCTTGGAAGAACTTTGAGAAGATGTGAACATATTCGTCTTCTCAGTCATCAGTTCTTCATACTCTTTTAGGAACATTTGCTTCATTTTAGATGTATGGGCTGCCAGAGTTTCCTGCTGTGATTCCTTAAGCTTCTTCAACTCTTGATCTGAGTGCTCTTTGAGCTGTTTGTATTTGTTGATTTTCTTAGAAGCTTTCTTAAGTTCTTTATGAAGTTCTGCCACCTTCTTTTCATAAGATATTATACTTTTGTTCTGCTTTTCTGCTCATTTCTTCCATTTTAAGTATCCAATTTCTGCTTGATTTAACCTCTGGTTTAGCTTGGATATTTCTAAATCTGGAGAAGCATCTTCTTCTGTCTCGAAATTGAAAGTATCTCATTTTTGGTTCTGATAGTTGTAATTAAAATCACTGTTTTGATAATTGTGAAGACTACTGTCAAAAGATTTCTCTGATAACTTTAGAGACTCATTGACATGCTTCTGAGTAAAACTAAACAGCTTCTTAGCAGCTTTACAAGTTTGATTCCTGTTAGCTAAAGATCTTGAACTTAATTTCTGAGATATATCTGCTGTGAAATTAAACCTTTTAAGTGGACTCCGATTACTAGAGTTGAGGTTAGCATTTTCGTTGATTTCATCATGAATTATTTTCTCTTTGGGCTGATAAGATTCAAACGGTTGCTTCTTATTTGCTTCATTCTTAGTTATATCCTTTAGAGGATGGACTAAAATCAAATATTTTATTCACAAGACTTACAATTTCTTGAGAAGTTGAATTGTTGGGTACCTCTTTTGTTACATTTTACAATTTTGGCCCCAGAGGACTTTTCACTTACAGATTTGTAGGGCTTTCTAGTATCAAGAGAACTGTTTGGGTCAGCATCATTACGATTAGCTATTTCATAGTACTCCTTCAAGTGTTGAGGAACAAAATTTCCTATATCCATTGAATTTATTTAAATTATTTATTCAAGGAGGGCAAATAAATCCGGGGTTTTGGGGTTTTGGGGTTTTGGGG